AAACCAGTCAAATCCGTAGACATAGTAAAGATTATTCAAGTTTTTTCTGTCGACCGGTCGAATTGTCGCTGAATGATATTCATGATAAACAGGTAGTTCTAGAACTTCCTGTATCTTTGAGTTTGTATTCTATTGCTGCCTGACACACGTCATCGTAATGTATAACCACAACAGTAAATCCATTATCGGCTTATGAATATGATTTCAACGTTAATCTGTAGCATGTGCTACTCACAGTAGTAAGTACAAGTATTACAAGGTGCTATCGTCGTCAGGAGAGATAATAGGAGTTGACACTCGACAAGTGGAGATTCCGAAGAATGAACGAGGAGTATTGTACGGAAACATAAAGAACAAGGACGCAGAGAGAGATGCTGAAGGAAAATTACTCTACAGAAGTGGAATCCCGACATTGTTCAATAAAACTGATACAAACCCATTCGAGGACAAAGGTGTGGAGAGCATACTGAGGAACTCTTATGCCGTTTCAATTTGGTTCGTTTGCTTTCAGCCAGAGGTGGTGGTACTGAGAAATCAGCTGAGAAACCGGATGAAGGTGGAGTAAGACATTGTCAAGAAGATTTATAGAAGGAGTTTTAGCAAGACGCCGTTCCATAAATGATGGTGAGGTCAATATCTCGTAAAACAGATAGAAAACCAAGTCAGAATTTATAAGTATGAAACTTATTCCATAAGAAGACCCGTTTATTTACACTGTGTGACAAATCTTCATCGAAAGTTCCCCATACTGGACTGACAAACTCAGTAGCGGGTGTCGCAATTTATCGAAAGCTACTCCACAGAAATGGCAAGCATTCAGATAAAGTTAATAAGAAGAGTAGAAGGAATCGTTCACCCACAAAATATTACAAATTTGTTTCAACACTTTATTTAACAATATTCCCATTTCCAACATCATACCGTATACTACCTATATGTGTTCTTATAAGTAGCGTATACATAAATTTACACAGAGATAGTCAAAAGTTTAATTTTTTTTTAAGCTTTTAAGACTGATATTTTGAGTCAGTAATTTGAATTTTATGGGATTATAACTGAAGTTAAAGACAGGACAGGTTTGTGATTTTGTTCCAAACAACAGAACTCTGGGTTATAGAACCAACACTCTATCTGTAACCCTTTTGTAACAACAGTTATCATCCACTTAGTTTAAAACCTGTCTGTCAGGAAGAAAGACTTATCTTTTATTCTCCTGTAAGTCATTGTCAAATACCGCCACTTATTTTTCCTATCTTGATCAATGGATACTGTCAACCGGAATCGTCCCATGCAGTGAGTTGATCACTGAAAACCACACAAATGAAAATTGAAATATCTATCTAGCACCCTGCACCGTGTTTTCCGTAATGATAGTCCTAGAAGTACTGATTTAAATTTGCGAGGTATTTTTAAATTTGGATTTAATTCATACTGAAAACTTAAAATTGAGTTTGTGAAAAGAAAAGCTGTAGAAAAAATGGGGAAATCTTAACTACACATTTGGAATTCATACAGCCATCTTTATTTGATATATATTTGAAGATGACAGTTGAGATAGAAAGGGGATAATGCTAGTTTCGACAGTAATTGAACTATTACTTGAGGGCCTGATCTTTCAGTGCGGTAATTAAAGCTGCAAAGAGAAGTCAATGAACTTAGAGATTACTGGTTTGAATGCCACTGAGATTAGAGTTACTGTAGGAACTTAGTCATAAGATAGACAATCAGACGTAGACAACATACTATCTGGCATGGCTAAGTACCCATCTAGGTTTCTACAACTCTCATCAACGCAACGTAGTTGAATGCCGACATAACTGAAGAAAAGGAATCGAAAACAACTGTACCACCAGTCATGCAACACGGAAAACAAGAAATAAAAGATATATTCTATGATATTGTTAATGCGATAAGGGTAATGTATAAGTGTATTCAAACTGCTACATTGGATTTTGACCTTTTTGTCTACAGTCTCCAATGGTTGGTTTTGGTCGTCCAACGAACCTGAACCAGGCACTCTACACTTCGTTACTTTACTCACACCAAAAACAAAAGACTTCATTGAATGCTATTATTTCATGGTCTAGCCTTCCTCAGACTTTCTCCAGCCTAATCTTAATCAAGCGTAGATTGCACATTGGTGCTAACGGTGAGTAGGCATTTCAGCCACCTCAACTGATATAGGTTCATCAACCTCACCTAATATTGTGCTTCTGACCTCTGCATTGCTCAACCGGCGATTTTCCTATATGCAAGAGATGCTTTAAATTTAACAGTTGTTAATCACCTACCTGATGCACTCACAAATAATCAATTTTTTTTAACAGTCACATTTCACTTGTATGTCGTAACACGTGGCACTATTGCTCAACAAACCTGATGCCTATTAGTCTGCCAAATCCTTCACCACCATATAAATCCATCTGTTGCAAGAAAGCTAACTCATTCTCGTTAAATAATATCCTTTTCTTATTGATAATCTTCTGGGAATATGTGCACATAGTTATTTTTTCCCCTTGTCCCCTCCTAAATCGATTGTTTTGCCTTCAAAACCAAAAGATAAGTACATACTTGAAGTAATGAAAGTAATCTTTTGATCGAATCGATTTGTAAAAGGAAATTCTGGTGAAGGTTAGTTACACGTCTACATCCCAGTGTGTAAACTCACAAACAGACGCATAAAAGACTGTAGAAATCCTTGCTCAGCTTGCTCACTATGGAATGATAATTCAATAGGTACAGTGAATTAGGATGAAACTATCGTTTGTTTATTTTCTAAACGAAAAATAAATTGAAGCATGCAGTGAAATAAATGTGCTGAACGGTTACTTTTTCCGAAAGAATTTTCGCTTGTTACAATCAGTTTCCTCTTTTCTTTGTTCGTAAGAGAATAAGACAGAAAGTGTAGGCGGAAATTTCTAGAAAGTTTTGATTGCATGTTGTAGACAATTTCGAGTGAAAGAAACCCGATGAGGAATGGTCAGAATTAGATCCAGTGTGTTGATCGGTCTTAGCTTCTTTTCCAATACGTGAAAGGATAGGCCTATATGAGTAACCTACAAACCTACCTCCACAGGAACAGACGAATTGATGAATGCACAGTGAAGTAATCCATCGTGTCAACTTGTCCTTTACCCGGAGATACACGAGTTAGCAACTATGATAAGCTATTCAAAGTTCAGCTGCATAAAACATCCTCCGAAACCATCCGAGTAGGGGATTCTTCAGAATATCACAATCAGCATCTCCCTTAAATTCTCAATTCATGAGTAACCTCTTCTATGGAAACCCATTGAAAGCACACATTTGTTTCGTTTACTTTTTACAGTGAAATTTAGTGGCTAGCTAGCTTTATGGAGGTCAACTTCAGGAGACTTAGTTCATTTTTGATACCGTCTGCAGAATGCATTTTATGGCACCTGGAAGCAAGAGAATGATTCAAATGTCGCTTCTTTATAAAAGGATTCAAATGTGAAAACTTTATTAATTGCCCACTCCCATCGCCCTCATTTACAAGTAGAACACTTGAAAATGAATTATTATTATTATTATTCAGGATGTTACTAATAAATATAAGCATTTTTTTACATTTCTATTCATCCACTGTAAATTCATCAGAAACCTACAATAAAACCTCACAGTACTAAGTTATGGCGAAGTAACCAACTATCAAAGGATGAGATTTTAGCTGTACTAACTACGCTTTAGAATTAGATTTTCCACTGTAAGTTAACACTGGTTATGTTGTATAGTTTGGGGCTGAAAGGTTTAAAAACTGAAAATCAACCGGAATCAACTTCCATGTCATTCGTTCAATATGACATGAAGACAAAGAAAAAAAATACACTTAGGCTACTAGGAAATGTTCATTGCTTGCAACAAAGAGCCTTAATTTATTGGCACTTGCAGTCTTTTAACTTACAACTCCTTACTTGAATCATTTTAGCATTAATATAGGCTAGGGATGATTTTTGTATTTGTTATGAATAACGTTTAAATCACCTACTAATTCGGCCGGCACTTATGCTTAAGAAACCTAGTGTGACTTTCTATGGCTCACATTTCTATATTGTTTCTACAATGGTTACGTCAAATGTTGCTTACATTTCCACATCTGCGTTGTTT